AAAAAAAAAAATCAAAGAATCTGGGCAATGCGTGCCGGGCCGCGCGCATGATGGACACATTAGCCGCGCAACAGCAGCAGCAGCAGCAGCAAAAAAGTCGCTGGTTTATTTGGCGCACCGGCGAATGGAGCAGCCGGAGTTACCGCCGCGCGTGGTCGACCGTCAGAATCAGAAACATCGCTTTGAATTTCATCGCGTCGAAGCAGTATTGAGCTGTAATTCCTGACTTGAAGTCTCCATCGCCTCTTCATTTGTTCATTTTCAGGTCGAGCAATAACTAGGTCTATTCAAAATTGGCGTCCTCCACACTTCTGACTCAAGACCCGCATCTTGCTCGCAAAGACCGCCAATTGTTGTCACGTGTGTGCGCTCCCCCAAAGTGCGTGCGGAGAGTTGACGCCCTTTCTGGCACTTCGGTCAGCTCGCTCATAGACTCACAACTTGATGGATTGACAGCCCTCTCTCGGCATATAGGGCTCCATGCTCCAACGCATACCATCATCCACGCATGCATCTACAGTACCTCGCCTGCGATCGAGGTATCTGCCTATCTGATCGCATTTGGCCGCCGGCTCATGACTCGCGGGGCCACGAAGCAGCATGGCTTTCCAGCTCCATTCGCGGGCTTTGTGTGAGCATCGCTCGCATAAAGCCTTGCATTTGCCTTGCGCATGCAGTCATGGGTGCAACAGTCTGTCAGATGAAGTCTTGTGCGATCTCGACTCTCTATACTTGAGACTTCTATCTGTATCGAGTCATATGGTGAGTGCAGCCTGCCTGCAAACCTCGCCGTTCTCGAAGAGTCTGAGCCTCAGGCGGCAACGCTCTTCTGGTGCGTGCAGGCGTGCCGTCGTGAGTCAAGAGTCACGAGTGTGCTATAGCGCGGCTGCGTAGGTATGGCAAATATTCTCGATGATATGCTCCCCGCGCACCGCCAAGACGCGCAAAGCTGCGACGTAGGCGGCGTCGTGTGGCCGTGTGGCACCTTCTCATTCGTGATTTCCCTTCTCTGCCTAATTCAAATTATTCACGATTGCGGAGATCTCGATCGAGCACAACAATAACTCGGACTTCGACTTGCGCGCGCGCATCCTTGTGAATATCACGAATCACGAGTGGGAACATCCTGACTGGCTAGCTGGGTCGGCTATGCATACAGACTCGATGCAGCGTTTCTGTCGACCTGCAACCTACCGGTAATTGTGAACCACAAAAGTGAATTTGACTTCAATTCGGTGCCGCTCATCCTTGCAGTCAATCGCTAGACCAAGACTTGACGAGGTGAATACCAGTCCTGCCCATTCATTTCGCCATCCGCGATTCCCTTCAGACGCTCACAGCAGCGAGATCGCCATCGTCATCGTCAAGCACCTCGTAACTAGTCCAGCACCACAAGACCAGGTGATCGAAATAGGTAGCATCCTCGCCTCGCGAACTGCAATACCGTACTTGGCAATCGCCGAGGTAGGGCGCATACATTCGTCCACTTTTTCGCCATACCTGCTGCAACTCCCTTCTGAACACGTCAGTCATCTGCTTCTCTACACTGCACACAAAACAGGGCAGGCATCGTCTATCTCGTTCGATCTTGGCCAACCTCTACCCTTTGTTCGCGCCAGCACACACCTTTCAAGGATAGGAACCTCGATCACGAATTATTTTACAATTGCAGACACGTCTTCCACAGATCAGGCGAATTGCTTGCGCGGTCCCAGACGATACCCGCTCGGCTGCACTCAGGCCATTCAGAAGCACGGTATATTGGCCCCCAAAGGTCACAGCTGAATTGGCAAGATGGTCGCCTCTTTGGCTGGAAATATCAAGGTGTTTTCGGGAACTTCGCACCCGGAGTTAGCACAGCTGGTAGCCAAACGGTGAGTAGAAGGGGAGAAGGGGGAGCGGGGACACAGACGCTGTAGCAGTCAGGAAATACTTGTTCGCGAACACATCCGGAGTGCGTCCATACGAAAGGTGGCAGAACCTTACCCGCTTCGCTTGCCACCTACGTTCAGGCTGGGACAACCGCTAGGCCGGGCTACAGTGACGCGCAACGATGCTGGAGAGTCGATTGTGCGAATAGCAGAATCGGTACGAGAGCACGATGTGTACATCATCAACACTTCTTGCGTCTCGCCGACACCCTCGGGATCAGCAGCATCTCCCAACACTTCGTTGATGGAGCTTTTGATCATGATTCACGCTTGCAAGACTGCAAGCGCAAAGAGGATCACTGCCGTCATTCCCCACTTTTTCTACGCCAGGCAGGACAAGAAGGACAAGAGTCGAGCTCCCATCACTGCAAAGCTGATTGCAAACATGATCGAAAACGCGGGATGCGATCATGTAATCACGATGGACCTTCACGCATCCCAGATTCAGGGTTTCTTCAACGTGCCTGTCGACAATCTGTATGCGGAGCCCGCGGCGCTTCAGTACATCCGGGAGATGGTGGACTGCTCAAAAGCTGTCATCGTGTCTCCAGATGCGGGGGGTGCCAAGAGAGCCACCTCGCTCGCAGACCGGCTTGAGGTGGATTTTGCTCTCTTCCACAAGGAGAGGAAAAAGGCAAACGAAGTGTCACGGATGGTTTTGGTTGGGAATGTGAAGGGCAAGGTAGCAATCTTGGTGGACGATATGGCCGACACGTGTGGCACTCTGGATCTAGCTGCACAGCAATTGGCGGAAAGCGGAGCTGAAAGGGTTCTTGCTATCGTCACGCACGGAATTCTGAGCCCACCTGCCATTGAAAGAATATCCAAGTCTAGTCTGGAGAAGCTGGTGGTGACCAACACTTTGCCTCAAGCTGCGAATCGAGCCAGGTGTCCCAAGATCGATGAGGTGCGTTAGCCATGTTTCTGCCTGCCAGGAGAAGTGCAGGTGCAGGCCTTCCCAGCGACTCTACTCACCCAGTACGTCCGCCCCAAGATCGATATCAGTCATGTCCTTGCTGAGACAATCAGACGATCGCACCATGGTAAGAACCTTCTGCAGAGAACAAGGGCTCTTCGTGGAAGCTCACTGACTCATTTTGCACCCTCTGACTGTCCTGCTCTGTCACCTTGACAGGCGAAAGTGTTTCGGTGCTTTTCAACGAGATTCCTTACGACACGACACAGCCGTACAGGCACGGCCTTGACACTCCTGGCGGAAGTCCCCCGAGGTCTGGGCTGACTGGCGAAAGCTTCCACAGCGCATTCAAGCCTAGTCCATACAACGATCCCGACCCCCCATCTCGAGCCAATTACTTTGCGGATACATCCTCTTCAGGATCTAGCTCCCTGCCCCCTACGCTTGCGGCACTTTCGACTCAGACGCAAGCCGGTTCGTCCGCCCATCAAACACAGCATGCCAGTGCAGACGGTAGATCTACCGTCACGCCTCCGTATCCCTCCGCATCACTGCCAGAAGATGCAACCCCCAAAGCGCTGACCAACAAAGCTAGGGAACCGAGTCCACTTACAAGGGAATTTTCCGCCTCCTAGCTCGGCCTCGTGTCCCAAGAGCTCGCAACGCTACATTTCGTATTCGAATGTAGGCTCTCTTCTCGAGTGGCTGCGTCAATGATCTTTGAAGTGTATTCATGAATGCTGTCTAATTACAAATGTTGTCCAGCTCCCTGCCCGCTTTACAGTAATTCTTGCCTTGGGGTCGTAGGCGCATGTGATCGTGCCTATGTTCAACGGGTCGACTGAGCAATGTATACGCATGAGGCCCCACATTCACCTATGGGCGATTTCGCGACCAAAGGAGTCGGGCGCTTTGGCGAGTAGCACGGGGATGCCCGCAACGTGCTAGATTGGCAAGAGAACAGGTAGGGAAAGATCGAGGAGCAAGGCAGGTGAAGGTTTGTGTGAGAGAAGATCCACGGCGCTTGATCACGTGCCTTGTGCACTGGTGAGCTCGCGCTGCTGCTGCTGCTGCTGCTGCTGCTGCATGCAGGCAAACGCAACGTCGTCCGGCTATTCGCGGCGCGGGCTTAGTCAGAAGCGCAGGATGATTGAATGAACACATGGGGGACGCGCGTGACTGGAATTGCTGATCAGTTCATCAAAACCATCCTCACTCACGACCCGATACTTCGATCAGCACACCAAGCTCTCTTGCCCAGCATGACCAATTCCGACTTGTGTTCAGTGTAATCAGACCATAGCTCAGCAGGTTGCGGCGTTCAGCGTCTCTCCTTTTCTAATAGCGTCACAGACACACTGAGCTTCACATTCAACGAATAGAGTTTGCGACCAGGTGCAGCTGGGTTCATCGTCAACCTGCGCAGCTGTGAAGGCGCTCCAGCTGAGAAGATATCGGGTCGTAGCTGCTAGCTACACAGGTTAAGCTCCGTTAAGCCTGGCGTACGATGGCCCTTCCGCAGCTTCCCCTCGGCCTGCGTCTCGGACTTAGATCTGCCTGTCTCCCGCCTTTGGTGCTCGCTTCCACGAGCGCTTGTCATGGAACTGCGCAGCACGTCTCGAGCCGGGCCTTTAGTAGCAGCATCTCCCGGTGCTCATCGGGCATTGGATCTTCTAGGGCTCAACTGACCAGCTCGCTCCGTCACGCTACGACAAGCTGTGCGCGATGCAGCGTAATCAAGCCTGGCTTCGGATCGCCAACAGATGCTTGGCGACGCATTTCCACGGAAGCTGGGTCATCGAGATCACGACAGACTGTCTCGGCGCGGTCTACATGGGTGCATCAGCCTCTCAGTCGTACACTGAGCAGAGGTCGCGGTGCTCATTCAGGATCGTGGACGTTCGATCCTTGTCAGCCGGCAAGCCGTGCAACTTGGACCTTCCCATCGTCTCGAGGCACGATGAGTTCACTCCGAGCTTTTCACATTGGCAGCGCCTCTAGGTCCACCGCTTCCCTATCTGCCTTGGGCGCGTCACACGCCACAAGCCCAAGCACTGCTGAGCCGCTCAAACGCTCTTCGACGTTATTCAGCATTCCTACTTCGCAGGACCTAGCTGCGCCAGTCAAAGAGGAAAAGTTCAATGATGGCACGCGACCTATCGTAGCCTATCATTTGCTGGCAACATTCATCTTGGTGTACGCCATCATTGTTGTCGGAGGATTGACACGCTTGACGGAGAGTGGGCTAAGCATCACAGAGTGGAACCCTGGCACGAAAGGTATGAAGTGGCCTGCCAACCAGCAAGAATGGCAAGTGGAATGGGACAAGTACAGAGAGACTCCGGAGTGGGCCTTGTGAGTGAGGCTCCTTGCTTTTCTTGCCCGTGCCTTTCTTTTCGGGCGAGAAAAGCGCACTGACACTAAGGCGCATATGTGCAGGCTCAACAAGCACATGACCCTGGAGGACTTCAAATCCATTTACATGTGGGAATGGGGCCACCGCATGCTGGGTCGCTTCATCGGAGTATTTTTCTTGGTCCCGGCCATTGCGTTCAGTGTCAGCGGACTGGCGGGTCGACGGACGCGCCTCAAATTGCTGGCCATCGCCAGCGGCATAGGTTTCCAAGGGGCTCTCGGCTGGTACATGGTCAAATCCGGTCTCGCGGCACCTGAAAAGAAGCTTGTCGCTCCCATCGCTGCTCATCCAAACAGCACCGCTCCTGGTAGCAACACGGGCGCCCAACCTCGTCTGGACCCTAATCTGCAGACTGCTGAGTGGACACCACGAGTGTCTCACTTCAGATTAGCAGCACATCTGGGCACCGCCTTCCTGGTCGGGTTGGGCTGTCTGCATACTGCAGCAGTCATCTTGCGACCTAGATTCTTTTCGAAATTGACCTATGTCGCTCAAAGCGCAAAGGCGCTATCGTCCAGCTCTGTCAGGCGCTATGCCAGTCAGACGAAAGCAGTCACCACGTTCGTCTTTGTGACCGCAATGACTGGAGCCTTGGTTGCTGGGCTGGACGCTGGACTGGTGTACAACGAGTGGCCGACGATGGGCGACGGCAGACTAGCTCCACCACTTGCAGAGCTTCTCGACCGACGCTACACTCTTTCTGGTGGCCAGTCGGAACAGGATGATAGCGGTTGGCGAGCCGTTGTTGGCAATTTTACATCCAATCCCGTTTCGGTGCAGCTGATGCATCGAACGCTTGCCACCACTTCTCTCGTGTTGGTTCTGGCTCTAGGATGGAGAGGCCTGCGCCTCTACAGAGCTTCAAGAGCGGCCGGGTATCCATTGCCAAAGTCGGTGCCTCGCTTAGCTCTGCTGAGCGCAGGCGTCGTCTCCATGCAAGCATCGCTGGGAATCTTCACCCTGCTCTACCTGGTTCCGCTGGAGCTGGCTAGCGCCCATCAAGCTGGTAGCGTAGCGCTGCTTAGCTCCCTCGTAGCCCTCACCGCTGCTCTTCGCAAAGCTCCCAATTCTTTGTGGAGCAGCGCCATCACTCGGGGGCCAGTCAAGAGCGAAGCGCAAAAGAGGGCAGATCAAGTCGCCGCCAACGCTTTGCGCAAAGTCCTTAGGGAGACCAGCGCTGCGACTCCTGCATCGCGCGTGCGGTTGTCATAGATGCGCAAACTTTTCAGCCTCTCGTGATCCTGTCGTGTGATGTAGCCCATTTTGTCAGTCTCTAGTCACCACACTCGCAATAGTCCTTGCCTAGAATGGTCCATCACCACTCGTAGACGCCTTCATCAGCACGATGACACACTTTGTCTTTCGACGCATTTCTGAATCACAATATGAAATGTCAATTGGCGTCTAATTGAAATGAGGGGCCTGAATGTACGCTTTTTGCCCTCGCAATCAGTCACTCCGCCCCCCTTTTCCGGAGGAATCTGGCATTGAGCCGTAGCACGAACTTCGTGGAATTTCTCAGGCCTTGTACAAGGCCTTCTTGGCCTCCTCAACAACGATATCTGCGCTAGGGAAGGATAGATTCTCGAGATTCGTTGCGTAGCTGGGTGAAAGATCAAAAAGACGCGCGTGAGCGTTCATGCAAAACAGGTGCTTCTGCGATCCTATGCTGCTTACGGAGTCGGCAAGTCCGCGCCAGTCACTCTGCGGACTGGCGAATCCAAATGGTCAAAGGCGAATTCGTTGAGCTGCGCAGATATCTCTGAAGCGATACGAGAGATGGATCAGCGGTTGAGTTGCATGGTTCCACCGAGCGACGCGAGGACTTTGTACTCGACAAACTTACCGGACCCAACGCCGAAAGCTGGAAACCCGCCTTCCACAGTGACAACTCTGTTGGTCTTCTTGAGACTTTCAATGACAGTCTTAATGTCCAAAGGCCTGATGCTTCGGAGGTTGATCACTTCGGCCTCGATGCCTTCCTTTGCGAGAAGTTCCGCAGCTTGCATGCAATGCGTCACACCCAGAGTGTGGGACACGAGCGTCACGTCCTTTCCTGATCGTTCGATCTTTGCTTTGCCGATTGGCAAGACAAAGTCGTCGGAAAGGATCTCAGAGTTGACCGGGAAAGAGTGGCCGTACAAGATCTCGTTCTCCAAAAACACGACCGGGTTAGGATCACGAATCGCAGCCTGAAGAAGTGCAGGGAGTTAGGCGAGGCGCGCCTCCGCGTGTCGCTGACGCTGAACCCTGCACTCACCTTCATCAATCCCCTGCAGTCCTCTGCGCTCCACGGGCTGATGACCTTCAACCCAGGTATCTGACCGTACCATGCGGAGTAATCTTGGGAATGCTGTGCACCCACACCGGCGGCAGCACCATTCGGGCCTCGAAATACGATGGGGCAAGGAACATTTCCTCCAGACATGTAGTAGGTCTTGCCTCCACTGTTAATGATCTGGTCAATCGATTGCATCGCGAAGCTGAGCGCACGTGAAGAAAAAAAAAATCGCTTTTGTCAGCACTTGCGGTCACGATGGCCACTCATCCGGCTTTGTTGGCCAGCAGCGAGAGATGCCGACTCACTTGAAAGTCATGAACTCGCAGACGGGTCGCAGACCAGCCAGCGCAGCGCCGACTGCAAGACCCGTGAAACCAGCCTCCGTGATGGGCGTGTCGATCACTCGACGCTCTCCGAACTTATCCAGCAAGCCTTTTGTAATCTGCCAATGGCCAAGTCAGAGTGTGAGCATGCGGCATTGAGCTTTGGCGCTGCACTTGACTGCACGCACTTTGTAAGCGCCATTGTCTGGACATCGAATAATGGCATTTCCATGTCAGCACAAGCCAGACATGGAGACTTTGGAGGCAGCACTTTGACAGCACTTCAGCGTTCCGCCAGCTCAACACTCACACCTGGCCACTTCCTCTCCGAGGATGAACACACTGTCGTCGCGCAGCATCTCCTCCTCCATGGCCGAGTTGAGAGCTTCGCGGACTGTCATCTCTGTAGGTTGACTGCTAGCCGCTCTCGCTTGGCTGAACGATCCTAGCAGCTGGTGACCGGACGCGCGAGAAGCAGTCGCAGCAAGGACACCACGAGCATCCTTGCTTTGACTTTGCGAGCCAAGTGAAGGAAGCGCGAGCTGCGAAGTGGCACGACTGCTGAAGGGACGCAGGCTGCTAGTGGCAGCGCTCCTTACGGAGCGAGACAAAGGCGTAGCAGCACCTCGCAGCATTCTGAATTCTAGCGCTGCCAGGGTGACCAGCAGTGTGTGTGGAAATTGAGCTCCGCGTCGCCGTCAGCGACTGGGCGAAATATATCAAGTCGCGTGTCCTCTTACGAGCTCGACTTGGTGTCCTGAGAATCAGTTGTGTGCGATCGCTCTTGAGCTTGATTGAGCTGCGCCTCTGTGACGTCCGCAAACGCTGCTGTTGAAGGCGGTGGCTGTAGCAAACAAAGGAAGGAAAGATGGCCACAGTCGCATCACGATGCCTCGCGGCCTCTACACGATTGATGGGCCCACGCCAGACAGAGCCTTGACGAAGTTTCGCCTCTGCTCAATCAAAATGCTTTGCTAGCTGATGCACGCTTGTCAGCAGAAGGTGGAAATTGATGGGGCGCGCACTCTCGCGCGCGGATGATTGACCCGCGGCGAGCACGGAAGTTGAGGGCACGCGCGGCAGGCAGGCAGGCACTTGACCGCGAATCTATTGTGCTGCTGCTGGCCCTGCATCATCATTGCTGTGCAGCATGCAATGCGCGCCTCCCAGCCCACGCTGATGAGTGATGATGCTGCTGATGCATTGCTGCTGGGAGTGCGCGCGCGGACCGTGCGTACAGCGCGACGGCCATTAATTGCACCGAAGGTTGACCGGCGCGAGAGGCCCTGCAGGCACTGTGCTGGTGCCTGCAAACGCGATCAGACATCAACCTTCCCGCGCCCCATTCAAGCGCCTACCCCATGATCGCAGCAATCATGCAAGGCTGCAGCTATAGGACGCAGACGACGCGCTTCATTCGCGCGAGACATCTATAGCGACACCGCCAGCAGGTTCTATACAAGACATCAGCTTATAG